ATACTCGCGAAATTTGCCACAGATTATCATGTAAAGAAAACTCTGCAAACTCTGAACGTTTCGTTCAAATCGGACTACTATATAGCATATAGCTGYCATACAAACTGACCCATCAAAGCCAAGATAAAAATATTTGTACACCCGTTTYGCTATAAAAATTCACCTGTGTAGCTTATTATAGCTTTGGTACAGTTAAAAATAATAATTTTACTAATTTATTCTAATATAAATTTTCACTTCATTTCACTTTACATAATTTCCACTATTTATTTATGTTCGCTATGAGTTTTTGAAACATGTCTTTGTTTTTGCTTTGATTTCGCTTTTCACTCAATAAACATGAATTAAGTATAGTAAGTATTTTTGTACGCATTCGCATGATATATAAYAGAATTTGTTGCTGAAACCTTCACACGATCAATTTGACAAATTGCTTTGTAATAGGTTAGCAGCACAATGTTCCACATACGCCCCGGCGCACCGTCTAGCACGAGTATTTACTGAATACTATTTAATGTGTACGTGTAAGTGTGTGTGTGTATGGGGGGATTTCACCTTGTATCGACGACAAGTTGTTGCGCCACATTTGTAGCGCTTTTCAGCACATTAATTGGCGTAACAACAACAATAATAAGAAAAGTGAAAATAAACGCACTGAGGCAATAAGCACAAATAATTATATAAGGCGAAAATTAAACAACAATTTCAWTTCCACACACATGTTGATTTATAATGAGAAATTATTTTAACGATAGCGCTAATCCGCTTTTATTGGCCTTTCCATTTGTTTTTAGCAGCACGGCATGACATGGATGTGTCTGAGCAAGTGAATTATTTTGGTCGAGTTTATAATTTTTCCTGCTTTTTTACAGTTTGCTGCGCGACATTATTTGCATTTCCATGAACTTGTCATGTAAAGAGATTTTGAAATTAGCATTGTTTAAGTTCTATTTATAAATTGTTGAAGTATTTATTTATAAAAGCTTTGTCTAAGTAAATATCTATATTTGGTTCGCTCCGAAGCACTCAGACGCCCAAAATTATATAAATACATTTCTCATTCAAAGCAGTGTAAGAGTTGTTGGCTGCAATGTCAATACGTTTATTGCTCTCAATTGTCCTTTATTGATATTCCTGTTGACAAACAATGCCGTCAACAGTTTTTGCTTTGCTGAGTAGTTTTCATTGTAGCTATTTTTAACCAGACTGTTATATTTACTTGCCTTATTTGTTTAAACAAGTTTCGTTGCACTTACGGAAATTACCGTTTTTTTTTTTTTTTTACACAAAATTGCCGTCAAGCCAATTTACTTTACCCTCTCGCTTGCAATACCCATCCTCGCTTGCTTTTTGCCTACGTACGACACAATCGCAAAAAACATACAGATCATTAAACTTTTCCCACCATTGACCAATGGCCATCGATTCGATGATAAATCACTTTCTGTTGCTCATCATAAGCATTTATATATATATTTTTTTTTTGTACGGGCACTCTTCGGGCAGGCACGCTTTATCAATGAAGTGAGGAAGTGAATTTCAAAAGCCATTTAGAGCATATGTAAATTAAAATATTCGCAAAAACACTTGAGATATATTTTTTAATTTTTTATTTTGTATTTTTAATTAATACTTTTATTTCTAAATTAATTATTTGAGGAGCAAGCGTTATGATTTATTTTATTTTAATTTATCTTTTTCATTTTTTGAAGCTCCCATAATTTATTTATTTTTTTAACCTTAAACAAATTTATAAGTAAGCAAGTATTTATAACGTTGTGAAATGTTGAACTTGACATTGTTTTTTTTAATATTATTATTATTATTACTTTTTTTATATTAAATTTTTCATCTATCTGCTATATATTCTTTATGCAAAACTTATATTTTTTTTGTTAGAGCGTGATAGTTAATGCCTTCTGGCAAAACATAGAAAAAATTTAACTAAAAAGTTTATAGAGTTCTTCTTAGCCTATAAGGTGAAGAACAACCGGGAGCACTGTGCCACTCGAAATTAGTGAAATACCTCGGATATCCAGCGTAAGCTAATCGCATTGAGGAATATATCGCTAGAAAGAGGCAGCCTCCGACGGAAAGCGAGAAGAAAACATTCTTAAAAAAAAAAAACGAAGTGCTCTTTAGTAACCGTGCAGCTAGACGTGAAGTATGCGGTCGGCAAGCCAACAACGTCCGTGGCAACGGCGGCAGCCAATGAGATTGCGAAAGAGCATTTGACAGTAACCCGCTTGAACAAATGCTAAAGGAAATATTGAAAATGATGCTATTGGAAATTCTCTGAACCAAGCGCATCCATGCCGTCATTTGATGGAGCAGGATATCTTAACGGAGTAAAAATGGGTAAAGGAAGTTAGCAGAATGCTTCCAAACCTGTGGAAAAGAGCGAAACTGGTAGTGATGGATCGAAGCAGTATACTATCGGTCCTCGCATGGTGGACCCGGAACTTGCTGGAAATGGTTGAAGTATGGATAAAGGACTTCGGAACGGAATGGCTACTTCCATTATCCACCACCTCCGGTGGAGAAAGAACAAAGTCAGCAGTCTGATGTTCCAAAATCTAGAGGTGAGAGTACTCCAAGTAAACCTCCACAAAGGTAAAATAGCATCTGTCGAGCTTCTTCYCAGCTTAGAGAAAGTAGCCACGTAGCGACGTGGTTTTAGTCCARGAACTATGGATTGCATCGGATAACGTGGACGCTGGGCTGAAAACTACACAACATATGCGTCTAGCGTCGTTAACCAGGAGAGATCAGTGATTTTTGGGAAGAAAGTCTATTTGCCCATTTTTATTTCAGTCTTTCCCAGATAATCTGTTGGACAGTTGTGGCAGTGGAGGATTCCAGGGAGGAGTAGCTACTTCTTGCATCTTGCTATATGCCACACCATTGCGAGGCGCCAACGGTAGAGCTCCAAAGGCTAGCGTCCACATCCACYAGAAGGAAACAATCGTTAGTGATGGGCGCTGACGCTAACGCTTATATTACGATTTAGGACAGTCCCATCTTCAATCAGCGAGGTGAGGCACTACTTACTTCCATTTTACAA